ATAGTTTAATTGCTGTGCTTTCTACTGTCCTTTGGTAAGCTGAATCCAAGTTCTCCTTTATTTCATGTAGCAAACGAATATAAACAACCATTGGACAGAGAAAAGTACCAATCTTCSGGGGCCTTAAGTAATTACAGCAAAATTGATTTGTAGAAGGAGCCACTGAACATTGATTTTAAAAGGAAGTTTAAAGGATGCGAGATGTAAGAACAAATTAATTCCATTTAGTGTAAGTAAAATAATTATGATGGGGATATGGGAGTAAACAAGACAAATATTCTTGGCCTTGTGGAGCTTAAATATAACCCAGACTAAAATGTTAATCAAACTGGTATTGCCAAGTGTTGAGTGTTTTAAGCATCAACTCCTAAATAAGCCACAGGAACAGCAGAAATCAAGTGTACTCTGTGCACAGTGAGGCTGGAAGGATTGGAAGTTTCTTTGAGAATAACTTTGAGGAGAACAGTAGAACATTGATAATGATGAAAGAAGCCTATAGATTTGCATGGACTGTTAGGTGATAAGGAAATTAAATTTTGAATACCTTATATCTGGAAAAACAACAGCAGGGGAGTGGGGTAGGATGATGAAGGTCCAGAATAGAAAAAAAAWTTATTTATACTAAGTTCTTGTAGACATGAAATAAATAGTTGTCTCAGTGCAGGTTTCTATTAAGAACTTTTAGAGGCAATCAACTTCTTGCCCATTAGCCAGATGAAATGTTTAAATGATCAGATCATCCGTTCATGCCAATGGACAGAATACTTGAATGTGATGCTCAAAAGAGTTGAATTTGAATGGTGGAATGGATTGATTCCAGTTAATTTCGACAATAAGTAAAGTTTCACAAAGACTGTACCATATAATCAGGTACATCTGATGATCCTAATAGAAATGACACTTAATTCCTACATTTCATTAGCTGCATGTTTCTTCTGCACAGTAATATTAGCTTCGCCAACTCCTATTTTCGTTTGGGGCAAATCCTGTAGTACCCAAATACAATAACCAGTTCCTTCACTGTGTTTCATCTCGCTRTGTCTCAATGTTTTGTTGTTAAGAAAAAAATGGCTAATGTATCGTCCCAATGTGAACATGTGTCACAACTAATCTGTTTAAGAAAATGATTTCCAGGGCTGGGGTAGAATGCTCACCTGGCATGCATGAGGCACTGGGTTYGATCCTCAGCACCACATAAAGGTAAAATAAAGATATTGTGTCCATTTAAACCTAAAAACAATTTTTTTAAAAAAGAAAATAATTTCCAAAGGAGTTCCAGGAATAGTTTGAATGAGATGAAATCATTAGAGTAGGCCAAACCCCTTTGAAAATGAGAGGAAAACATTTATTTTCAAATATAATTTGTATGTTTTTAATGTGACAGCCTTATCTTGAATACATGTCCTTTTTCTTTGCTATATCACCTTGTCACATCTTGTCCTGGCAAACTTCAGGCTCCTAAACCCACATTTTGCTTGAACCACAGATTAGGTATGTTTTGCACAAAAGATTTTGACTGTTTCTCYTCAGGTGCAACATTGCTCATTTGATGCTCATGTCTTTGTAAGACTGGATCATTTTAAATGTTTTCTTGAGTCAAGTTCTAATTTACTTGGTTTTGATGACATATAATGACAATTGTTTGGCTGAAATCTCTCTTCTGTTTTGTTTATTCTTCTTCCTTTTCTTTTACTGTTTCTCTTATTATTCAAGGATCCACAGAGCAACTGGAAGACCTAAGAGGATGTTGCTCTAGAGAAGCCTCATTCCTTATTCCAGAAAAGATAAGGATTAAAAGGGTAAGAATCCAAGGAAATTACACCATCCTGAGAAAAGAGGCAGAGGAGCAGATATATCCACCAGACACTGTTATGTCTCAGGAACATTATACTTCTGAAACATTTAATCTTTCTAAATTCCTTATAATGCTCCATATTCGAGTCTCCTATATACATTAAGGGGCCAAATAACATGGTCAATATGAAAATCATATTAACAAGAGAGGGGACTGGGTTCAAACCCAAATTTAACTGAATACAAAAACCCTAAGCCATTGACACCCCGCTGGTCTTCCTTCCTAATATTTTGTTGAAATAACAAATGTTGGAGGAAGATTTTTAAGTCACTACATCACTGCAAAATTGTATATGTTCATGACAAAATTTGTAAATACAGAAAAGTTTCAGTCATCAACAGAAAGATCTCTATCCCATTGACCCAGCAGCACCCATCGTTACTAGGTATGCATTTTTAATTTAAAATTAAAGATAATTATTTTTAGTGGAATCATAAAACTAAAAGTAAATTAACTGAAACCATTCAAATGGGCATTTGCTCATCAACTTTTTGATCTAATGCCAAGAAATTTACTATTAGTTTTACGTTACATGAAGTCAAAGMCTTTCTTACAACAATCAAGTACTAATTCCAGTTTTAACTTTTTGAACACGGAATTGAAAATTAGACTCATGTCCAATGTGAATATAAAATTATRCAAACTTTTCTCATTTTCCCCTCCTAACTTTTTATAGTGGTCTGTCTCACATCTTATCCCATAGCCATTTTTAGCAGCTTATACTAGTTAAAGTATTTCTCAAACATTCAAATGATAATTTTCATTATTAGATTTTTATAGCATTTAATAAATTTTTATGACTTTAGAAATTAGTATGCATGATATGAACAGTTTTGAGGAAAATGCAGCTTGCTGGTGGATGTACAAATCGATGTGTGGATGTGGGAATCCTCAGAGCTGCTGCAGAGGGAGCTAAGGTCCCTGGTGCTCGGTACATCATGGAAAACATGTCCTATGTCATACAGAGGGAATGAGGAACCTGAGTTGATTTGTCACATCAGTTAAGTGAAGAATTGAAAGACCCTCTACTACATTGTATTTGGGGGCTAATCAAAAGAATAAATATCTTATTGATCTGGCTTTTTTCAATCAACCCTATTGTATAGTCAAATCCTCTGCACCTCTTTTGTTCAACTGCATTGGTTAGATCAGAAGACATAAAGACAAACAAAAGCAATGCTAGTCTTTCTATATCACCATGCTTACACTGGGTTGGACTTTTTCATGTGTGAATGTGACAGTCTGTCTTTAATAGAATATAAGCCCCATTTAAACTTATTTTCATAACTGAAATATTTACTTTTCTCAGCTTATTTGAAGCTACTTTATATGCTTGCTCACATTTTCCTTCATTTTCAACTTTTTGCTCTGTGCTATATTTACTTTTTAAGAATCATCTGACTGTTTAAAATGAGTATGCTGAGTTTTACATTATTTATGATTATTCAGAAATACACGTTTGGGTAAATACTTCTCTCGTTAGTCACAGCTAAATGAAATACCTCTGGAATCCTTCTTTATATAGGTTGAGGACATTAGCATACTTTTATTTCTCTTATCCCTCTCTATCAATTACCTAATTATACAAATTATAGTTTTAAATATGCATAATTTATTTACCTTTAAAAAATTATATTATGTACATTTTAAATAATTATTCTTGGCAATTTTTTATTTGTTTGCATTGAACTCTTAATGTTAAATATATTATTTACTATGTGATTTTTTTTCAAAGCATATTGTTTTACATTACAACTTTCCCAGTCTTGAATTATATGTTCTGATTAATCACTCAGCAACCCAGAGCCTTTGTCGAGGGGTTGTTTTAATTGTATTTGCTAGGATATGTTTCCTAAGCCCTTGTAAATCTGGAAAAGACTTTCTGCTGCTTTTGAACATAAATCACTAAAGCCTGTTCTTTCACAATTTGTTTTTCTTTAAACTCTTGTAGACAGCGCTCTGTTGTCTCTTAGATCTTTTTTATTATTAAAAATAAAGTTGTAGTCCAATCTGAAAGTGCTTAATTTATGGGCATTTTCCCCATTCCCAGATGCTTATAAAACCCTTTCTTATCCTCCTGATTGTCCTAACGCGTAATTCAATCCTTCTATTGCATTTGTAGGTTTCTTACCATCTTTTTCTTATCTCAGAAAGCTGCAATTTAATTTTAACTTGGCTGTTCAGTACTTTGTCATTCAAATTTGTCCAAGACCAAAAGTTTATTAGGTTCCTGGTTGGAAATTTAAAGAAAATTTTTAAATAAGAGGAAGTGTATGAAGAGCATATATCAGAAAGAATTGGAATAAAAGATGAGTATGTATCAGAAAGGATTGGAATAAAAGATGTTTGCCTAGTTTTATTTGGAGGCAAAACAACTGAGTATAAAGGAACAACTCATGAATAACCTACTATAATGGGTATGTTCTTTCATTAAGTAATGGAAAGAAGAGTATTGTTACACAGAACAACAAGAATAACCTCTGAAGACAAGGTGTTGAACCAGTTACAATAAAATCCATGYTTTATCCTTACACATGTAAATTGAGACATAGTTAAACTAAGCTGTGATAAAAGGCAACAGTCATTACTTTTGTGAGGAGATAAGGAAGGTTGCTTGTAGGTTCTTGGAATYGTTCCTATTTTTTAACCTTGGTAATGGTATAGTGGTATATTTACTGTGCAAAAAAAAAAAAAGTCGTATATGTAGGATCTGGGAACTCCTCTGTGTACATTTTGTATTTCAATAAGAATGCTTACCAAAATGTGAAGCACCCATTTATCTAATTATAAAAAAAATCTACAATTATGTAATTAATTCAATGCTAACTCTCTGTCAATTGGATTTAAAAATACCAGAACGTTTTGTTTTGTTTTGTTCTAAGACATTTCACCAGAAATATCTCCATGTCTCCTCACCAGGATCTTCCACAGAGGAGTGTCTACCCCATTCATAAAAATTTCCAAGGAAAAACATGCCAGACCCCTGTCATGAATTCATTCCCCGAGCATCGTGGTTGGAAACCAATTAAGTAAATAGGTAATTCCAAGTCAAAACTCAGATTTAAATCCCTATTGTGTGGCAGGCCGTGAAGCCACTCAACCAACCAGCGCTCGCCACTTGCCCTTGGTTCCTTTGGCCGAGGGCATGTCGGCTTGGAGCCCTGGGCTCAACCAGTCGGGCCCCACCGAGTTCGTGTTCCGTGTGTTCACCGCTGTCCCTGCGCTCCGGGTCCTGCTCTTCCTCCTCTTCCTCCTCCTCTACTTGCTGATCCTCTGCGGCAACACAGCCATCGTCTGCGTGGTGTGCACACACAGCTCGCTCCGCACCCCCATGTATTTCTTCCTGTCCACCCTGTCCTCCCTGGAGATCTGCTACACCTCTGTGGTGGTGCCCTTGATGCTCTCTAACATTTGGGGGGCCCAGAAGCCCATCTCCTTAGCCGGCTGCGGGGCCCAGATGTTCTTCTTCGTCACCCTGGGCAGCACCGACTGCTTCCTCTTGGCCGTCATGGCCTACGATCGGTACGTGGCCATCTGCCACCCGCTGCACTACACCCTCCTCATGACCCACAAGCTGTGCGTCCAGATGGTGGTGGGCTCCGTGGGCCTGGCCCTGGTCCTCTCGCTGCAGCTCACCGCCCTGATCTTCACCCTGCCCTTCTGCGGGCGCCACCGGGAGATCAACCACTTCCTCTGCGACGTGCCCCCGGTGCTGCGCCTGGCCTGTGCCGACATCCGCGTGCACCAGGCCGTGCTCTACGTCGTGGGCATCCTGGTGCTGACCGTCCCCTTCCTGCTCATCTGCGTCTCCTACGTGTTCATCGCCTCCGCCATCCTGCGCATCSGTTCAGCCGAGGGCCGGCGCCGCGCCTTCTCCACCTGCTCCTCGCACCTCACCGTGGTCCTGCTGCAGTACGGCTGCTGCAGCCTGGTCTACCTGCGGCCGCGGTCCAGCACCTCGGAGGACGAGGACCGCCAGATCGCCCTGGTCTACACCTTTGTTACCCCCTTACTCAACCCTTTGATTTATACCCTTAGGAACAAGGATGTTAAAGGTGCTCTGAGGCATGCCATCCTCAGTAAAGCAGCCTCTGAGTCCAGCTGAAGGCCCAGGGGTTGGGGTGGGCATCTGTCAGTTGTATGTCAATCAACTCTCAATGACAAATTGAATTAAAAATGTTTACTTTCCCAAACTCGGTGTTTGGATTTTTGTTGTTGTTGTGCCTTATTTCCAAAACCTACACTCATTTTTTTTAAAAGTGCTTTAAGTAAGATTGGATTTCTGAACTGAATTTCTTCCAATGTAGGACGACCTCTACTTAGTTCTACTTTAAAGATTCTCAGCCACCCAAGTAATTACTGTATCAGGAACCCTCCTGCAGTGAATAAAGGTTGGTACCTGTAGACGCATCCTCCTGAGGAGATAATGATACTGATTTTATCCCGTGAAAGGTATCTTAAGTAAGAAAAATTCATAAAGACACATTTTATTCAAATGTGTTTTACTGTGTTAAAGGTAATGGTAAATCGTAGCTTATTTAATGTATGAATTTCATTCATTCCATACACCCCAAATGGTTGTCTTCATTTTCTTTCATTTTGCCACGCTAGGACGGGGACAGATCAACCACAGAATTAGTTTTCATTGACTAAGCACCTCAGATTCCCAGCCTTAGGAGGGTTTTAAGGACAACCGCTGATGATTGGCAGCACGGCCTGCGTGAGCGCCCCCTACTGGTGGTTCTCACGCAGGCCTTTGTTGCTCTCCCTTCTTCACGCCTTCATAATGGCTGCTGCTCATAGATCTACTCAGCAGGTGGCGCTACTGTTCCTCCCACTTCAGAACTCTCGAGTGGAACCACGATCTTCAGGTACCTGTGACCCAGTTCCAGATAAACGCTCAAATAGAATCCACATCCCTCTCTGGTGTTCACAGCAGACATCCTGCTCCACTTTCTCATGCACACCCTGAGGAACAACAAGGTGAAGAGGCCTCTGGGGACAACTCCTCCCAGGAATTATATCTTCCGAAACAGCTATGGGAGGGTCCAGCCCCAACAGCTGATTCCGGTGAACCAGACCTGGAAGAAAGTGAGAGTATCTGCTTGCAAGTATTAAAAACTGACCTAAGAAGTTGGTATAAATTTTCTGAATGCCATATGATTAAGTATGACAAAGGTCTTGAAAAGTTTTTAATCCTTTGATTTCATGCAAGGTTGTACTCTAAAAACATCATCTCAGTAAATTTTCAGTCAAACAAAATCCAAAATATAAGGCTGCTGCTTACATAAATATCAAATAAAAAGCAACTAAAATCTATAAAATGGAAAGCAATTAAAAACTACAAAATTTATAATAGTATATACAAAAATGAAGCAGACTTCCAATTATATTTAGAATAATATTTAATAATTCAGGGCAAGTTTTATCATTATATGTATAAATGACAAAATTAAGATTCAAACCTGTATTTACCATAGGAACCTAATTTTCTTTGTTCATTTTTGGCAGTGCTGGGTATTGAACCCAGGCTTTGTGCTTGCTGGGTAAGTGATCTATCTCTAAGCTACATTCCCAGCACGAGAAGCCCACTTTTGTAAAAATATAGGTGTGTAATATTAAATAGAAATACACCAAAAAGTTAATAGTCATTATCTGTGCCTTGTATGATGCTTTTTAAAAATTTGCTTCTTTAGTTCTTGATGCATTTTCCACATTTTCTAAAGCAAGCCTGTGTTCTTATAATCGGACCAATAAAATTTTTTWAAAGAAATTGGAGGTTCATATAGATTGATTTGGCATGCAGACCTCCCATCATCACAGCTTGAAGCCATTTTTGTATTTTTCCTAGTTTAGGACTGTTTCTTTGGGCTCCTTTTTTCCTTCAAAACTGCTTTTGATGCATTTAATTTTTAAGCTGATTTCACATGGGGATAAGGAGAAGAACTACAAAGTGTTACTTATTCTGGGGACAGCCACAGATTTGAAAATATATTAGAAATGCTTTTGCTTCCAAGTAAATGCTGCAGGAGAAGAATAAAACTCCCTGGTCGACAGGCTGCTTATCAGCCTATCCAGGCCAAGTCAGATCAGAACATAAGGCATCAATTATATTTGTACACATTGTGTCAGGCATTGTCTGAAATACCATCAAAAGAGAAGTTTGCAACTGTATTTTCATGCTTCCTTTCATTCTCTGTTTAATGTAACAAATCATACAGGAAATTAACTTGGAACTCAAAAAGAAGAGGATGAAATAATACTCTATAGCAAAGAAGGCCCTTAAGGGTTGCTTGATCCTTTCAACTTGAATTAGTGGGCTCTCCCAGCTACCTTCCTGCATAAATTTGAGATAAATAGAATAAAGCCCCTCTTTTCTTTGCTCCTTTTCTGCTTCTTTTATTTATTTTTAATTAATAAATTTTGCACATTCGTRGTATAGGCAACATGGTTTTGATATAGCTACAGTTGTGGAACAATTACATCAGCTACTTAACATATGCATTGCCTCAGTTACCCTTTTTAGCAACACTTAAAATTGATTTTCTTATCAATTTCCAAATATACAGTATATTGTTATTACTGCAGTCATCTTGATATACATCTCTTGAACTTATTCCTCCTGTCTAACTGAAATTTTGCATCCTTTGGCCAATATTTCTTCAATCCAGCTACTTCCCAGCCTCTGTCTCTATGAATTTGATGTTTTTTATCCTTCACATATATGATACCTTGTGTTATTTGTCTTTCTGTGCCTAGCTCATTTCTCTTAACATATATATGATTTTGTGTGAACCCCACGAGTGGTGTTCTAAAAAAACAAGTTTTGAAAGCAAAAAATATATATACATACAGTATATGTATATATAATATTATATATATACATATATATGTGTATGTTTATTTTGTGTAAACCCTGTGAGTGGTATTCTAAGAAACAACATGTTTTGGGAGCAAATAAGTCCTTGAATTAACATTTTGATGTGTGATCTGTGTCATGCTTCATGCTGTTAATCTTTCTGGGGTATTGGAATGTCTGTGTTTGAAATACTACCTAATAATGCCTAAGATGAGTATTCCATGTTTGGCTACTCATTATAGTCTAATGTGTTTGGTATATGCCAATAAACCTAACATTTATAGCTATTAAACAAATTATAAATACCTTTCATAATGACAAGAAAGTTACAACAATTTTAAGATTGCTTTTTAACTTCATTAGAAAGTTAACTTCATTCCATAGAAAGCAGTTTCCACAACAGGGAAAACAGAGAGCTCTGATCATGTAAAAAATTGAATTATTATGAGAAAGATATTATGTTTTAAAACTGAATTATAAACATGACTGAGAAGATAGATGTATCATATCTATCTATAGATATATAGAAAACAAAGGATTTCCATTCATAATATAAAATCATCTATAAAGCATAAACTAATAGGAAACAGTAGTCAAAAGACAACAAGTAATCTACAGAAAATATGAATGAGCCATAAACAAAATATATGTACTCACAAGCTTGCACAAATGAAATAAATTAGAAAGATTTATGGGTAAGCATTTTAGCCAATCTGATTAAACAAGCTTATATCTGATATGCATAAAGATGTGGGGTAACAGAGGCTCACAACTATTGTAAATGTAGATTCTATACCATATTTTGGGAGAGAAGTTTGGCAATATCTATTAAATTTTACTTTAAAAAATATATTTACTTGTGCATGACCTTTTATGACTTTTTATTTTTGTTTTTTAACTGATATGTAAAAATGTAGAGTATACATACTAATGGAATAGCATGTAGTAGTTTGATAATGTATATACATTATGTAATATTTAGTTAAGTATATCCATCTTTTCCTATATCTTTATGGTGAGAACATTCAAGATTCTTCCTTCTAGCTTTTTGAGACATACAGTACATAATTGTTATCTACAGCCACCCTACTGTGCAATAGCAGCCCAGAGTTTCTTATTTCTGTCTGACTGCAGTTTAAGACCCATTGATAACTTCTCTACTCTCCTCTACTCCTACATCCCCAGTCTCTGGTTGTGTTACTTTTAAGTATCTATCCTAAAGAAATATCTGCAGAAGTGCATAAAAATATCTAGAACTATTTCAGTTCTCCATTATTTCTAAGTGGAAAAGTTAGAAGCAATCTGATAACCCTTTAATATGAGAATAARGAAATGGTGCATTATGCCATCATAAAAAACGAGGTACATCTAGGTCTACTCTTGTGGAAAGTTATCCTCAGAGACATACAGAAAGGGGCAGAAGGGGGATCCTAAGAACAGGGAGCAAAGAGTGTGCTCTGCCCTGTTAAGCTCAGCACTGACAATGTTTAGCATTGCAGGCACAAGGTGATAATGAAAGGTAGGCTGTCTTTTTGTTATTTTTGTTGCTGTGTTAAATTCTTTGCAGACAATGCACCCTCTTTCTGCCTGCACCTGGATGTTCTACATCCCCSACCCTCACCCACTCTCCATAGGTGCTATCTCCCAGGAAGACCAGGAAGATGTGCTGAATACAGAGCACAGGAGAGTAGCAACAGCCTGGCCCTGCTGGGCAACTTSATCCCTTATCTATCACCATGTGATGCTCTAAAATATGACCTCTTGAGAGTAATGATTTCTGYTGAACTTCATCCTTACAAATTTTTAAAAAGCTCTTCCTTTGGCTAATTCTATTCCTAAAATAGCACAAGGAAGAGGGCTATGGAGAAATCATTTCCCTACCTTAGCTAAGTTGACATATACATTCCAGCACAGCTAGATGTGGGTTTGCCATTCCTGTCTACAGGAATGGCACAATCCAAGCATACACAGAATGTCTAAACTGTCATTATAAGAACATCTCACCATCTCACACAAACTGCCTGGGACCAAGGAACTCTTTTTAGGCCAAAGATGGTGTAGCAATGAACTCATGACCACAGAATTCATCCTTCTATCACATAATCCATTTGATAGAACAATGGAGCAATCTAATTAAACTATCTAAGGTACCAAGCAGGAAGCAATATCTTGTGAGTTGGGGAGTGTCCTTCTGGATTGTGTATATTCTTCGAGCCAACCTCAGATAAGCAGGAAGGCATCCTTCATAGCTTAAACACRGATTCAGGAGCCA